CTTACTGTTATTATCGCCTTTATTATTATTATCATCATCGCTGTGATTTTTATTTTCATTTGGACTATAATTATTAAGATTATTGCCGTTGCCATTAGTTTTTATTGTTATGTATATTATCATTGTTGTGGTTATCACTTTAATCACTATTATTATTACTATTATTGCAATAATTACCAGTTTGTTGTTATTGTCTTCGCCGTCGTCACTATGATTACTATTATTATCATTGCCATTATTGTCTCTGGTATTATTATTATTATTATTATCATTACCATTTTTATCACTATGATTTCCATTTTTTTCGTTGTGACTACCGTCGATTTTACTACGATTGTTATCATATTAATAATAATAATAATTATTATCATTATTATTATTTTCATTATCATAGTTATTTTTACCATCGCTATTACTACAGTAATGATTATTAGTATTTTCATTATTATTGTTATTATGATTGTTGTCATTGTCACTACTGCTATTGTCATTATTCGTATTCTTATTATCATCATCATTATGATTACTATTATTACCAGCACTACCATCATTATTGCCATTATTATTACTATTATTATTATTAACATTATTCCTCTTTTTATTCTTATTATTATTATCATGACTATTATTGTCATTGTTCTCATCATTATCGTTATTTTTCTGCCTACTATTATTATTGCTGTCATCATCATTATTATTATCGTCACTATCGTCATTATTAACATTATTATTATCGTCATCATTATGGTTGATATCATTATTACCATAATTATTAATAGAACACAATCAGTAAGGGCACCAAAAAGTACACCACATGAAATAGTATAAAGAATTATGAAGATATAATTCATAGGGAAGTGGATGAAAGAAAACCATAATTGTAATGGAAAGATTAAAAGTTCATTACTTTTTGGCAGCAGATAGAAAAAAGCTTCAGCATGATGACCACTGGTTTCAATTCTGAGCCATATCTGGTAACATCTCAAGTCACTGAGGTGCATGATCTCTCGGACTTCACTCAGGGAGTCGTGATGCACCAACAGATGCTGACTCGATACAACTATCCTTCATCTCACGTTCCACGTCATACACTGACTACCCCTCACCTTCTTCCATCCCGTCCTAAGGCTAGGGAACAATGGACGGTGTGGATGCCGTTGGGACGACATGCATAACACATGTCCAGGTCACCGAAGCTGGTGGTTGCAAATGATTTCATTTATTGAATGGCGATCTCCATACCCAAACACATGCTGTCGTACGTCAGAGTTACCACCGGCTACGAGTAATCTTACAGAGATAACCATGATCAAATACATGGTGTCATCGAGCATTCTTGGCTCGGAGAGGAGGGACTAGGTTTCACAGGTGTAAAACAGAACCTCTCGCACTGAATTGTTGTAAACCCTACCTTTTACAGTCAGACTAACGTCATGACGGCGCCAAAGGTGGCCCACATTAGTATAGGAGATCTGTTTTTCGATATGCGGTTAGATATTTCATAACTCATATCTCCGGCAGCACTCACATAACTACTCGTATACATGAACTTTTCTACTCCTTTCAATGGCTCACCACTGAACGTGAACGAAGGCACAGGCTCCTGCCAGTCATGCTAAATTACTTTGCACTTCGATGGTGCAAAGCACATACCACACGAACACTAATCGTTCACTGATTGGATGCGATTTAAGTAGCTTGTGTTTTACCTCACAGGAAGACAATATCGTTCTACTATTTAGGGTCGAATAGCTGTTCTCTGCGTAGAGTAGGTCTACATCACCATTACGCATTCCCTTCAGAGCTGTCTCAAAGATATCGATGGCAAAGTTATATATGAATGGGGAAATTAGGCAACCCTGCTTAACTCCACTGCTGGTTCGCAACAACGGAGACATGATTGTATACCTTCACTCCACCTTGAATGTTATTAAATAGGGCTTTCAAGATGTTCATAGACTTCTCAAGCACACCCTCTCTAATAGACAATTTCGGATTGCAGTTCAGTCCTACGAATCGGAAAAAACATGCTGTCTACAGATTTTGACTTCTGAATTGTGTAGTCAGTGATTCGGTATGCTTTCTCAGATAAAATTCGCTCACATCTTACTGCATAGAATTCGTTTTACGTGCATTATCAAAGCCCTCTGTATTTATCACTTTAACTCCTATCCTGTATCAGATCTAGTGTCTTGTTCATTCTGAATCTGTTGACAGCTGCACTATAGGTTTTTAGTCAACCTGTTTTTTATACTAACAACAATCGTCTCTTAAGTTTGAATTTAATGTTTCCAGTCCAGCACTATAAGATGATGCACAACTTTGAAGGCACCGGTAACAGGTGATGTGGTTATCATTGTTGCACTCAAACGTCATGGCACATGCCAAGCGTATTCTGGGATTCTAGGGTCTTAAACAACACTAAGGGACATCATTTGTCACTCCTAATGGCTTGTGCAGGTACCCCATACATCTTATACAGCTTTAACATGTTTTGACAAAATTTTAAGCGTTAAAGCTGCAGTCTTCAGCTATTATCATTGCTTTTAAAACCCTTTCCTGAATGATTCACTACTGCATGTGATATACACATACTTAGTCATTGAGCAACAAAGAACTAACATTTAAATATGATCTCACAATCCCGAACGCATATTCTATGTTTAAGAAAAAGAAATGTGATCTCAGTAAACTTGACTTTTGTATTTTGTTGATAGAGTCATCATTATCAACAACATAGGATCATGCGTTAGTGTGTAGCGGTCCGAGCTGCAACACCTCATATCAGTACATGAAGTAGAAAGGCAGCAAGGTGCAAGATGAGGAAGAGAAAATTCAGTCAAAAGAAATATAAAGTAGTAAAAGAGAGAAAAGAAGAATGGGAAAACGATGAGATTTGGTATAGCGTCGTTAAGATGAGGATAATGTGTGTGGGGATACATGTGCATCACTGACTTCTATTGTGAGCCATGCCATCACCTAGAGTCAGTCCCCATCCACTAGTTCCTCTTGTCCCACGGACTCCAGCTGGCTAGTGTGCATTGCCCCACATGACTGAAACAAACAGTCGAAGACTTCATACATTGATGCCATGTTTTAGTCTGACCGCCTCGAGCTCTTTCCCATCCTGAACCTACTTCGTCCAACATTGTGTGACGAGGCAGACGGCAAGTAGGTATATGTGTCCCAACCATCTTAGTGGATGAAGGTTTACAACCTCGTCAACTGATTTACCCAGGTAAGTGAAGTGGTCGACACACTCAACCACTGTACTCTCTATTGTTAGCCGAGGCACTGTTGAAGACCAATCCTCGAGCAAGAATTTGCATTTGGGTGGCGCTACCTTGACGTGGTGGTCGGGCTTGCATATCACAATAACCCAACGAGCTATGCTGGTGGAACACTTGTTCCCTCGAGGTCCTACCATACCAAAAAGGTCTATTGGATAGTGATTAAACGAAAAGCAGTTACCGTTGTGGTGTAAATTACTACACTATGATGGGAGTGTGAGGGCGAAGTCGTACTGCTGCTGGCTGAATGAGGTGTGACATCAGTAAGGTGTTTCTCTTGGATGACCAGCAGTGCTATGCTTATGCTGCCTTCTCAGTGGAAGGAGTGGGGGGGTTAGAAAAGGTCGCCCCCAAAAATAAGACGCTCCACCATGCCCCACGGTCTCCCGGGCCGGCGGTGTTTGTTCATTTGTCGTTTCTTTTCAACCATCCGGCCCCAAAATGACAAAAGTTCAAAGTAATCATACTCAAGAGACTACGTGTAACAGGTCTTGAGCAGATGTCCGATGGGCTCTGCGGTCACACAAATCTCTCTCAGGTACCTTAAGAATAAATAGCCTTCCACGATGTGGGCAGCCGAGAAGTGTCAACCGCCCTCACAACTCTGTCACCATTCAAGTCTATTCACCCCGCTATCCACCTCCCTTATCATGATGATAGTGGGTGAACTCTAAAACCCGAAGAAAATTTCTGAAAGAAGCGAAAATCCTGCATTTACATCATCTTTTAATCCATCAAGCAAGAGTGTGTAGTTATTTGAAATGTTTTTGTCCAGAATTTTCTTTACTTCTGTTTTCATTCAATTTCACTAGACATTTTATTGTTTCCGAATTATATGTATACATAATTGTACACTGTTAATTACAATTGAGATCAGAAAGTAGAATTTATTGGTTGACTGTATGTAGTTTACTCAGTAAAAGAATTCAGTTGAGTTAGCATTGAATGTTTACACGCTTAAAAGGATATCTGTTCATTCATCTCTTCGCCTTATCTATCTGTAATGATCTTCATACTGTATAAATAAATGATCAGAAAAGTCACATTACATTCTCAAGGTTACTGTCGGCAGATAGGTTGTTTGAAACTCGTATTGAATATAAATGTTAATACTGGTAGTTCTGATTGGTTACTTCTCTATAAATGTCATTGAAGAGGTGCGATTATTTTGAAGATTGATTCTAAAGTGTCGTGCTAGTTACAATTGAAATAACCAATTAGGCTTCTTAATTATATGAAAATTTGTCTTTCCAGCTGAAATAAAAAACCTAATTGGTTGAAGTTTGCTAGGTGGCTAGAAGTGGATGCCTCGATACTGCCTGTTTGGATAACATTTTGGCGTTTGAAGTGACGGGCCTTAGGTTCGTGTTTAAGTAGGAACATCACTCACTAGGGTGCAGGTACATCCAGCTGACTAGCCTTAAATGAGATGAAACATGCGTCGTGAATTTTACTGGTACCACCAATGTAATAAATATTCTGGCATTATGTCGAGGCATTCTCATTGGAGACTATCTGAAAACAGAGGTAAACCTACTCGACCCTGTATAGCAACGAGAAATTATAAGTATCAATAAGCAGAAATCTAATTGGTTATTCCATTCATTACTAGGGTGGCCTTTAAAGTCACTCGTTTTCAAATATTCTTGTTCAATTAATAAGAAGTTATTTTCTCTTTCTCGTTTACGCTATTAAATGTTTTATTGGAAGATATACAAACCTGTTGCTACTCCATTTGTACCGAACAACTTACTATATGCAATATGGCTTCATGCAAGTCATTTAGCTGGATATGAACAACGTGATGCACACGAGTTTCTTATAACTTTGTTAACTTTGATACACGGTCATCTTGTTGGTGAAGTATCATCACGTGACAATGGTAAGTTGTTGAATCTTGTAAACTGTGTGATGTTTTGCCAATGACTTTAAAATAACTTACATGGCTGTTTTCTCATCTTTACTAGTTTTTCTTTCCTCTACTCTGAAGGCTGAACTCTCTTTGGTTGTTAGCTATTTTACCTCTATGTGGATTTTTTGTTGTCAAGGTCATTTTTTAGGAATGTATATATATTCATAATGTCTGTCAACTGTATTGACTGTTATTGAGATAGTAGAAAGCTCTTTGTCAACGGTCTGTCTTCTCTTCTTGTCATCGCGCGTCGCTGGTGGTTGGTTGACGTTCTGATTTGCATTAGAGCCGAATCGTTTTCGCATTGCGTTCGTATGTTTCGTAGTCTGCTAGACTCGTATCACTTGTGGACTGTTACGTAGTACCGATCAAGTGTGAGCATGCAGTGTATCTGTATCACCAGGCACTCATTCTACCCTCACAACATATCTATGTGTATATATTATGCTCCTCCTCTCTGATTCATGTATTGTTATGAATTAAAATGAGAAATCCTAGCTAGATAACCAGTATGAATATGATGAACGGATAGCAACATATCATGAATTCACTTAACAGTAGAGCGAAATCCTTGGTGACAAGCAAAATCTATTTTGTGGTGAGCTTGTGTTCTGAACAGCTAGGTAGTGGAAATGGAAATCCACTCAGCCACCTCGTTAAGACTTGTGCAGTAGGCAATGAGCTTCATCTGCTGTATGAGGGCTAATGATATTACCTGGCTGTCTAAACATCGGTAAGTGGAGCGGTGTTGGAACTTGTCAGCCAGTGGTTGAACTAAAGGCTAATTTTATATCGATCTCGTGCATCCACTTCCTAGGAGTTAACTTCTCACTTCATGTGTTAATATGAAGTGTGAGAATATGAATCATTAGACAGTTGTGGCAGATGCTGTAGTGAAAGTAACTGTCACCCATTCTGCAACTGAATAATAAAACCTCCTCATAGCCTACTGAAGAAATAATGTTCTTTTGGATTTTGTACAATGCTTCCAACAATACCTTTAAGTTTAATCATATCAATCACAAACTTCGGCTTTATTTCTTATCTTGATGTGGTGACTGGTGTCCGTTCACAGGAGAAAAGAAGGTAACGGTAGTCAGGTATTTGAAACCTTCTCGAACTCTATATTTCGTGGTTGTATGAGAGAGTAAAATACACCGCTGTTCAATGAACTGGAACTTTGAAAGTTAGTTGTTTATCTCTCAGAGGTCATCAGTAATGCAAATGGATGAAAGTTTATTGAACTTCTTTTCATTTGTGTTCACATTTCGTTGACCATTACCTCACAGTAACTACTGTAACTTTTGCCACTTTATTAAGCATTGAAAAGACTACACAATCACCTCAACTACTATCAACGATTCATCCTCATGGCTGGTACAAATACACTTCTAATAATTTTATGAAGTACTTCTTATGTCAGAAGTGATAGGAACATGTTACACAGTATGACCACTAATTCAAAATTGTCTAATGATATCTACACAATTGTGCACACATTTCTTTCAAAACCATCTCATAGATGTCGATGGTTTTGTTAAAAGCAAGTAACGAAATGAAGGGACCTTATCGAACTGCACTGCTAGTTTGGAACAATGCAGAAACGGCTTTGAATGTGTATCACTGTGGCACAGATGTATCAGCTGGTTATCATCGAAATTCTAAACAGTTTGTTAGTCTGTTTTTACTAATCCCGCTTCCTCTTATACTCATCTTTTTTCTACTAGCTTCATGCTATTTCTGTTCATTATCTGTATTATTTACTATCATAAGGTATGGCAATTTAAACTGCTGCACATTTTGTGAGCTTTTAGTTGTTTTCTCGCACTGTTTTTCTTATTTTGACGTATCCTGAACAATCTGGTTAGCTATCTGATCGTAGTACTTCACTAAGAATCACTGTTGTTTTTACGGATTGCCTTACTCATTAAACTTCTTGACGTCGGTAGTCTGGTTGAGTTGTAGTAGTTTTTGACATCTACTTACCAGTTTTCGTCAGGACTTCCTTATGAACCTTCGTCGGTTGAGATGGTTTGGAGATGTACTGCGTATGCTAGGCCACCGCCTACCTCGGCATGGAATCCTAAAATAGTCGGACTAGGTTGGAAAAGGGTTCAAGGTGACCAGACCAACAGGTTGCACCAGTCCATGAAATCGCTAACTGTTGGTCTGTAGACAGCCTGATTGGGGTTCCCGAGACAATATGAATCATTGGTTGGGAAGTCTTGATGACGTTGCTGAAGGTCAGTCACAATAGCGCAGATTTATTCACTGCTTGCATCTTCTAAACGTTGAATATCTGAATTAATCTTTATCCTCAGATTTTTTATTCTCTCACACAACCTTATCTATTGTGATACTAGTGTTCTTCTATCAACTTGTTCTTTTTCTACTACTGTAAAATATAGCAACTTGAACCGATTCACTTTTATACGAAGTTCTACGTTGATTTTGTCTGTTGTCTGTTCGCCTGTCTGTCTGTCTGATGAGTACTTTAAATCTTACTGCTTACTATTCAGTCATATTAGGCGCAACAAATTCACTAATATGATCATTTCAAGCTGACAAATGTTATTAACTACCGTGGCTTGAGATGAGGTTTTTATGCGTTATGCCTTCTTTCAAGGAAGTCTTAGGCTTGGAAATGTTGATATGAGACGTTTTATAGGCACAGGGATAGTTTGTATCTACCTAAAGTGTTATGAGTTAGCAAATGGTAGTCTAACCTACTCTGTTCCTTTTTCATTTTGCTTCTCATTATTGTCTGCGCAAGTACACATATGAATCGATTTTTCGGGATTCTTAATTCCCTTTTTCTAGCTAAGTTGTATGTGTTGGCCATTCCTGAAGCATTTCTTTTCTGGAAAATAAGAGATTTACGTTTACTGAGCCTTCTCTCCTTCTAAAATCACTTCCATCTTCGTTAGATAAGACTTTTCGTTACGTCTTCATTGTTTATTTAGGAGTGACAGAAATTACTTTCCGAATGGCATCCGTGACAAGATTGAGTAAACATGTAGAGATGAATTCGTCATTTGTAACAGAACTTAATCATAATACTGTTAGCATTCTTCCAAGACAACTTGTATTCATTCGCAGAACATTTATCTGTAGTATACCTCATTCGTAGAATACTAAAAGAGCATACAAACAAGTCAGAAAATTACACTCGAATCTTGGTTACATCTCGTCGATATTGAGTCTATGATGAAACTTGTGATTCGATTATGAACAATGGGGATGCTAGATGTCTTAATGTGCACCTTTTTAACTACGATTTATTAAAACTTGTCTGTTTGAAAACAAACTTCATCAGTGAACAATTGTAAAATGTTTTATGACATTTCATCGGAGTAGCTGTCTGATAGAAAGTATCACCTTGCTCCGCTTAAATTATCAGGGACAAAATATATAGCAAAGCAACTCTTTCTAACGGATTTATTTTCAAGCTGTACATTCGTATATATATGATATTTGAAAAATTATATCCCTTAAGGAGAATTATACACTATATGATGATAATATAGGTACTTATGATTATGATAACAGTTGAAATATGAATGATAACAATGTGGATTACGTAATATATAGGATGATTCATAGGATGTAAATGAAAAGATTAGAACAATTAAGTGGAAGAACTCATGAAATCCATCAAAATGAAGTAATAGTGATAAAGGCACAATACAGAAGTTAATTTAACAAAGGGAGGGGGAGAGGGGGAGTCATTAGGGGTACGAAAATGTCATGGCCATAGTGAAGACGGTGACTGTATATACTTCGTTTACACATATAGGTCAGACTTTAGTTCATGAATAGCTAAGGTTTCCGTGGTTTCCAGGAGTTGAGAACGAAAAGAACGCAGAAGGTTTAGACGGATTTGTTAAACCCATTATCTGGGTTTGTTTAGTGAGTAATCGAGATCAGTCAAATGTTCTAGAATAGAACTTCTGACAGACTTTCTTTCGTCTTTATGAAACAAAGCTCGGATATTTCGTATCCGTGTAAAAAGCATTTTCTGGCTACGGCTGATGTACGTTGCTCATTAAAGAGCAGGTGAACTGGTAGATGCACATAGTGGTGACCAGATGAGGGAGAACAGTTTATGGCTGATAAAAGTCAGTTGAAGTCTTGCTGCGAAGAACGTGACTGACTGACACTAACTGACAAAATCAATGTAGAACCTCACAAACAGGTGCTAAGTTGCCACACTTTACAGTAGTACACAAAAAACAGGTGGATAGAAAATGGAATGATATAAAAGTAGATAAAGTAGTGTGAGAAAACAAAGAAGTTGAAGATAAATGTTAGTACAGATATTCAACGTTTAGGAAATGTCAAGGAGTGAATAAATCTTTGCCATTCTGGTGGATTTTCAACCATGTCACCACTGATTTCTATTGTCTCGGGAACCCGATCCATGAACTGATGACACGTCCTGGTCTAGCCATCTTGGACCCTGTTCCAACTGAATCCAACTTGGAACGTCGAAGAAGTCCATTGCTCGGCATGCATAGTACGTGTCCAAACCATCTTAGTTGATTAAGATTCACATTCTGTTGGTTAACCGACGTAGACAATTCTTGAATACTTCTGAAGGCTTGGTCAACTTTAAATTGTAGGTTTATGAACAATGTATTCATTAAAACTGAGTGACTGATTGGTTTCGTATTTCTTTCGCCAACATTTTTACCAACGATGGCATAGCGGTAACCGTTTTTCTACAATACAATATTACCTCGCTTGGTTAACTAGTTCACTAGTTACTAGCCGGCCCTAAGCCCGGGTCAAGAGGGAAGGTTGAGCGTAGGGCTAGCAACCCTACCCCGTAAAACCAACCCAGCCTCTAAAGAAACTTCAGAGCACAAAATTTAAAAAATAAAAACAATATTATTCCTCGCTGAAATCGGAAAGGCGAAATGACGCCAGTTGGTGAAAGCCTTCAGGAAGCCAATTGGTCGATATGTCTTCTCTCGATGAAAGCGAAAGTAAACATGAGGACATGGAATGTCCGCACCATGTTGGAACCCAAATGAGATGTGACGAGTTGGGCGTCCGACGGTGACATGGAGGAGATCTTGTGAGGAAGGAATGAAGGCTTCTGGGCTGTTGTAGATCCAGGTTCAAAAGTTTGCAGAGACGAGAGTGGAATGGAGACGTGCTACTGAAGCCCTATGTTCCATTAGGAACCCAAGGGACAAATAATAATAATAATAATCCAATCCATACTAAATAATATTCTCTTCATTAACATTCTCTTATTTGATTCAATGATACCGTCAATGATAAGTTGAATTTTTAATGGTTATTGTTTAATTAAATTTAGATACTTGTATATTGGACAAGAAAGAGCATACTAGACATCGACACTGTTCAAATTCAAATGGTTTCAGTGATAATCACAATTCTATGCACAATACAGACAAGCCTATTACAGAAGTATCCGATTGTGTTCAACATCCAGATTGTAATTCACAAGCATCTATATCTAGTTCTCGTGATAGCTCTGATTCATGTGATTGTATTGTTCATCAGGTAAGCAATTCCTACATATCTATCAGTTGCCGAATAAATGATTAGATATTGTTAATATTTGTTACCAGCAACGGAGTCTTGCTGTTTGCACATGGGCCTATATGCCGGTAGTGTATGATAAGTTCAGTTCAATGTACAATGGAACACTTCAAGCTAAAAAATTTAAACTATACCCGTCGCACAAGAAATGGTTATCTTGACTGAGTAGTTAATGGATAACGCTCCAATATTTGAAGTGGTGGTTGCTGTGGGAACACCCCAACACTTGTTAACTGAGAGAGGCGCGGATACATGTTTGCCTGGAGAGTCGTAAGTAGGGCGAAATGGACATCTTGGATTCCACTGCTAGTCATTATCCACCCTTAATGTCAAAATAAAACTATTGATCTCACATCAAGGTATTCACACAAAAACCTATATGCCAACTGTGGTCGTTGAAATTCGATCTGAATGAACGATGGGCAACTACATACTACAACATCGAATCTGCTAGACTTTATTTATTGTATAAGGGGAAATTAGTGGATATCTTTAACTAACTCGATAATATTACATAGTAGTGAGACGTGTTTTATTGATTTTGATTGGTTAAAAGCAATCATCCGTAGATGATTGGAAGTGTAAATGGAAGTAGTCAATACCTTGATGTCAACAGCTGTCATGGACTCATCTTCTATTGACTGTTAACAAGAGAACTGTTTTTCAGAATACAGTAAATATGAACAGTTATAAAGTTGAATGATGAATTCAGTTATAAATATACTGAATACGATACTGATAACCATAAGTTATTATTATTCATCCAGCTCTAAATAACATCTTTAGGATATAATTTAATCAAAATAAAGTTTTATGGATCAGAGCATATCCTGTAACGTAGTGAATTTCTGTGCTCTGATTGTCTTTCTCATTCGTACAGATGAAAATCGACAGGTTGCCGTTGCTTTTCACCTTCAAATGATCTCAAGAGCATTGGTGGTTTACATTCACCAATAACATTTACCTCATTGTCGTAACGCGTTTATCTAACCTTAATTGTTGTCTTCTTGTTGTTTCTATCATCTCATCATTGAGTGAACTGAATTGATCGGCCTCGATATTGCTTGTGTTTGTTTTATATTATAGTGATGGATAGTGGACCAGTTGCGGAACACAGGATATGCGTTTCGTCCTATTTGGGACTCGTCAACCTAATGTACTTGCCTCCCAGTGAGCGACTTTGTCCCCACACTATGGCTTCAACTTGAAACGAATCGCTTCAAATGCCAGAGAATAAAAAATTAACACTTTTAAATAAGCGAAAATCCGTTGAAATTTCGAAGAGAATGAAATATACTTAGGTGCAGGCTATACTTCAAGTTGGGTTGTTCTGTCACTGGACAGTTCCATTACAAGTAGTATCCGAATTATATCGACCAAGTCTACATTGTATTCGATGAGTATTACGCCTAAGCAATATGTTATTAACTGTTGTCCAGTGAGCGATCAGTTTATGTGATCCATTTCTCCAAGAGTGTCGGACATCACTCGTATAGCTTAATACCAATATATGTTGACGATGCCAATATCTCTATGAACACGTGTCTCTTTTCGACTTTTGATACATCTAACTACCATTAGTCGGAAACGATAACATTTCACTGTATAGTTTTCTGTTAGTTGCCTCTAATCATCTAAAATTGAGTATATGAAATTCATTAGATTAATGTCGACTAATCTGCAAATTGTATTGTGGAATGCGCAGAATTTCATACCATTTATGCATTATTTATTTTATCCTTATATTGCCAATATATGATGAAAATATTGTACGATTTTTACTGCAAGAAAAACGGATTCATTTCAAAGTGGGGTGTCTCCGAAATCAAGGACGTTTAGCCAAACATCAATTTAGATACTCGGATCATTGGTACAACAACTTAACTTTAAAGTAATAAATATTGATCTCGAAACCCACCTCACCTACTTCGACCTGGTTTTATCATTAGCTTACACATAACAACTGTATCTCTTATCCTAATTTATGAATAAATATGCCAGGTTGAGGTACTTCGTTATTATACCCTAAATAAAGATATTTATTTAATTATACCTGATTAGGTAACATGACGAAAAAAGTTGAACAAACACTCGGTTCCAACAGTTAAGTTGTGTTGAAGCGACCAGTAAGATTAACTTGTTTCTAACTTCTCTCTTTCTATTTTATCAAGTTTTATTAAGCAGATATTTCTTTTTGACTGAATGAAACATTAAAGCAACGTTGGACCTCTCACACAAGTGCTTCATCTCAAGTTGTTACACTTAACAGTAGTACACAAAGACCAGGTGGATAGAAAAAGAGTGGTATCTAAGGTGATAAAAGTTAGTACAGATATTCAAGCTTCAGAAGATGTCAGAGAGTGAATACAACTGCGTCATTATCAACGATTTTTACCAATATCGCCAAAAGTTCTAAACCACTAATTTCTATTGTCTCGTGGAACCTGACTAGGTGGTCTACATTATCCCACACGACTCAAACCATCAGTTAAAAACTTTATGGACTAGTGACACGTCCTAATCTGGCCACACTGAACCCTCTTCCAACCTAATCCAGCTTCTCATAGCGTGACACATTGAGTTACGGAGTGGTCGAGCATGTGCAGTTCATGTTCAAGCCATCTCAGTCGACTACGGTTCAATTCACAACCTCTCCAATCGACTTGGCTGTTTTGTCCAGTACCTTTTGCCTGAAGTCAGCATTGTTCACATGATGGTTTCCTTTTGAGAATGACATTGAAACTTTTCCTTTTACTATTGTAAATATAGGTATTCTTCGGTGATTTAGAGTCTGTCATATCTTATGAAGGTTGTGAACATAGATCATCAACAGTTGACCCTTTCTTAGATTTATCTTTGGATGTTATTCAACGTGGTTCAACATCACTACAAGCCTGCTTAACATCTTATTTTAGACCTGAGTCAATTGATGGCTTAATTTGGTGTTCTCAGTGTAATGTTGGTCGACCAGCAGTAAAACAGTTCAGTTTACTACACTTACCAAATGTGTTGTGCTTTTATCTGAAAGTAAGTCATATCATTTCAAAGTTTTCTGTTCATTTTTCTGACTATTAACATTCCAATGAGGTTGTATACCACTTTTGTGAATAACATGACTTCTCTGTAACCCATCTATCGTGTCATTATCATCAATATCAACATAGGACCAGGCATTACTGCGCAACGGTCCAACTTGCCACACGTCATATGAGTACATGAAGTAAAAAGGCAGCAAGGTGCAAGATGAAGAAGAGAAAATCCAGTCAAAAGAAATATAAAGTAGTAAAAGAGAGAAAAGAAGAATGAGAAAATGATGAGATTCGGTATAGCGTTGTTAAGATGAGGATAATGTGTGTGGGGATACATGTGCACCACTGACTTCTATTGTGAGCCATGCCATCACCTAGAGTCAGTCCCCATCCACTAGTTCCTCTTGTCCCACGGACTCCAGCTGGCTAGTGTGCATTGCCCCACATGACTGAAACAAACAGTCGAAGACTTCATACATTGATGCCATGTTTTAGTCTGACCGCCTCGAGCTCTTTCCCATCCTGAACTTCTTCGTTCAACATTGTGTGACGAGGCAGACGGCAAGTAGGTATACGTGTCCCAACCATCTTAGTGGATGAAGGTTTACAACCTCGTCAACTGATTTACCTCTATTCCCTAAAACTCTACACCTGACGTCTGTGTTACTCACGTGGTGACACCACGGAATACGGCTTATGCTACGAAGGCAAGGGTGGTCAAACACTTGAAGCCGTCTCATGTCTTCCACCTTCAGTGGCCATATTTCACAGCTATAGAGTAGAACAGAGTTGACCATTGTGCAATACACGCGACCCTTAACAGACAGTCGGATATCACGGGGGCGCCATAGATGGCGTAGGTTGGCGAAGGCCAGCAGAGCCTTTTGTATTCGTGCAGAGATTTCATCGGCCACTGAGCCACCAGGGTTGATCCTACTTCCCAGGTAAGTGAAGTGGTTGAAACACTTAATCACTACACTCTCTATTGTTAGCTGAGGCACCGTTGAAGACCAATCCTGGAGCAACAGTTTGTGTTTGGGTGGTGAGAAACGCATCCCAGACATTCTCAAATTGCTATTCAAAGTGTCCAGAAGACTGCATCTTATCAGCGTCTTCACCTAACAGGATGGTGTCATCTGCTTATTTTAGGTCTAACGGAAATTCTCCTGTGATTAGATCAACGTCTGTGTAACTTAGTGACGAGAGGGAAACCTCCATAAAAATATCTATGATAAAAGTGAATAAGAATGGAGAGAGTGGGCACTCTTGACGGACAGCATTCTATGAGCACAGGTCCCTGGACGTCTCACCACAGGCTCTAACATGCCCATAAATGTCCTAGTGGAGAGCCTTCAATAAGGTGATGTACTTACTCGGCACTTCTTTCACTGAAAGACATTGCCATAAGACTTCTGGATCAACGGAGTCGAATGCCACCTTCAGGTCGTGAAATACAGCTAGTGCCGGTCGTCTGTAAGCGTGTCTATGTTCTAGGATCTGGCGCAGTGCGAATATTTGGTCGATACACCCGCCGCCGGGTCTAAGTCCTGCCTGGCTTTCTCTGGCTTGCTGTTTCCGAGCTCCATTCAGGCGTCGAGCAATTATAGAACCTAGGATCTTGGACGCTGTGTTCGTCAGGCTGCTTCCTCTGTGGTTATCACAAGAGGACTTCTCACCTTTCTTGAAGACTGGGATAATCAGTGACTTAGACCAGTCGGAGGGGATCGTATTTGATTCCCATATACTGGTTAACACTTCCGTTAAGCTAACTAAGAGCATTCCACCACCATCCTTGTAAACTTCAACAGGTAGTCCGTCTGGTCCTGCCGCCATTCCTCGTTTCAGGTTACCTACAACTTTCTCGACTTCTGCAAGTATCGGGGGGCCTATCTCAGTTTTCCATTCAGGATCCGACTGGATAGTGGGCAACATAATGGTGGCAGTTAAACTGTTCCTCGAAGTATTCTGCCCATAGTTCCAGTTGTCTTCTCTGCGAGTGGATCGCAGATCCATCCTTCTCCGCTATAGCCTCACTAACTGATGTTAACCTTTTCCCCAGTCTCCTTAATAAGTCTAAATAACTGTCTACTGTTACCAATCGCCGCTGCCTTTTCCATCTCTTTAACCTTCGCTACCCACCACTGTTCGCGGTCGTTGCTCAAACTTTTTCTTAATCTACTCTTAAGTTGCGCTCGCTCTTCACTGTACTCAAAGCCTTCAGGCAGGGATGCGTTTGCATGCATCCGTTAGTTCGGAAGAAGCTGCTGATATCCACTGGCTCTTTTTAGCCACTCTTTCGGAGTCGGCTACGATGCCCAGCGCTGCTTTTACAGCAGACTGGAGATGGCACCAAGCTTTTTCTGGATGATTGATAGTCTTCTGTTCCAATAACTGCCTAGTCAACTTCTCACTGAAAGCGGCCCTGGTGTTTTCGTTGTCCAGCAGCACTCGTGGTCGTTTTGTTGCCAAATTTTTCTTACGTCCATTGAGATGCAGGCATATACGCACTCGGACCAACGCGTGGTTGCTATCCAGGCATGTACTCCAGAAGGAGCGGCAGTCTTCCACCGATTCTGTACAGCAATGACTAATAGCAATGTGGTCTATCTGTGTCCATCGCTAAGTTGAGCTCGGTGAACGCCACGTCAGACAGTGTCTTTTCTTATGTCTGGAATTTGTGCTAGCTAAAAATGGGAGGTTATCTGAGCACAGTTGTAGTAGGCGATCACCGTTATCTGTTCGTCTAGCCGGGATTCCAAAAGTGCCACCTAAGTGCCTTTCTTCCCCACTCAGTCTACCCACCTGTGCATTGATGTCACCTGCAACAACCACCACGTCCGAACGTTTGGCTTTCAAGAGGAGACTAGACAGTTTACGGTAGAACTCGTCCTTCACTTCATCTGAGCTGCAATCAGTGGGTGCGTAAGCAGAGATTACAAAGAGACAACGGCGAGTCTCCCTATTGCTTTTAGTTCTCACTGTGCCATTCAGTCGGATAGCGCAGAGGCGACTATCAACTGGGATCTAGTCTAGTGGTGGGTTTCCTGCCCTAGTGCTTAATGCTGTGGCAACACCTGCAAGACCGCGAGAGCTAGCTATCGGATCTCCAGAAACTCGGAGGGTGAATTTTGCGGATTCACCAAATTGGTCAGTAGAGGTCAGGTGAATAACCGCACTTGGGTCCTGTATGCGTGTCTCACAAACACAGTACACATCTATGGCCCGAGTTGCTGGAGTTTTTGCCAACGAAGCCTGTTGACCAATTTGACAGAGGGTGTGGACATTGAAGGCTGCAATATGTAATTTGGAGCGTGGTTTAAGGAGACCAGTGATGCTGTTCTGTGAACTCAGATCGTTATCAAAGGCTGCAGAACTAGGGGAAATTAAAGATGATGTAGTATTGTTAATAGGGAGACATGAAGGAAGATTAGGAGGTAATGAGGGGCGAGGTGGATAGCAGTCTGAGGAAACTTGAGTACCGATCGAGTTGTGAGGGCGGTTGACACTTCTTGGTTTCCCACACCATGGGAGGTTATTTCTTCTTAAAGTACTTGAGGGAGATTTATGTGACTGGATCCCGTCGGACATCTACTTGAGACTTGTCACATCCAGCCTTTTGTGTATGGTTATTTTGGGTCCGTATGGTCGAAAAGAAACGACGAGTCACGTGTCAACCGGACTGAGATTTTTTCTTTGACAGTTCATAAGACTCTTAATTTTGTTAGCAGCTTCATTTTTCATGAGTATTATTAAATTGAATATGTTTCACAATGCTCTAAGGTTCTATAGGTATTTGATTCTCCATGAAACGACAGTCTGTTACCAGAGTACTGAAAAGGAAATACAGAGATGTGATTTTCGTATTCGGAGCTTCGGTTCATCGGCTCTTGAAGATGACTTTCAACCGACTGGTCATGGGTTCTAACTCCTCTCCATGTACTGAGGTTTGAGTAGTCAAGTAATGAAATCCTTATCCCTTACACAATATATGTGGCTCATTACCTACATGACGAAGTACACAAGGTTGGTTGATTCATTTCGATTTGAATTCTCGAAATGTAAGGAGAAACTATTTTTACCAAAAACTTCACCAACGCACTATAACTGTCTGCACAGTTATTATTTCCACACTATGTATGCCTTAAGGTGTTCAAGTGTTAATATTTATCCTGCCTCCTCTCTCTCTTTCTCTACCCCCTCTCTCTCTATGTATCATTATTTCCACATACTCTTACCTTGAGAAGTCGGAGGTTCCTAAGTTTATATTCATTAACATGTGTATAACAAAGTTAAACAAGAATGACAATAAAAAGCATTCTTAAAGGACACCACTGGTTGTCGTTGACTTTAGACGACAAATCTACATCAGCTCTTACATGACTGTGTGATTTCGAAGAAGATTCCTCTTGGTTGGGCAGTGATAATGAATTCAATTTTTTTTGCCTGCTTAGTGGTATCCAACGCTGGAAATCGATATTTCACCATTGTCCTCCACTTTTTAGTTATCACGAAGTTTTGAACTTTTCATATCCATCCACTGTTCTAGGACTTGTTGACCATTGGGTTAACGGTAATTTAACTAACATATTTATTTATATACTGAAGGGAACATAACTTTAGCTTCAGACATTTTATTACGGTAACCCATTATGATTGCCTTTTGTACACAGAACATCTGTTTTCACACAGATTATGCATAATTTACTAGAAAATGTATCCAAGCTAATCCTCTCTCTTTTTTAACGTTAATCTTTATGTATGTTCAATGGTTTCCTTCAAGCGTTGTCATCATGACACTAAAATCAATACTTCTATCACATTCCCTGCTGAACTAGACATGGCTCCCTACTTACATCAGATTGTAGGTGATAAATCGGCTTGGTATGATAGGTAAGTTCAGTATTTACTACATATACATCAATTTTGTTAAACAGTAACGCTTAGTTCATGTATCTTTTGAAGATTAGCATTAATTAGGCGATCGTTTACGTAAATAATGAATAAGTTATGTAAAATATAAAGGTACTTAGTAAATTCCAGTCCATGGAATACAGGTTCAACCCAGGCCTAGTGTCTACCTACTCTGATTGGTCAATGAATTCGGTGGCGTTATTTGCCATCAATTGTAAGCTCTGCTTCTGCTGTTTTACATAAACCTTTACACACAGGTTGCATATACGTATGCGGGGATGACAGAAAAATGGTACTTATAGAAGATGGTTTATTGCGTAATATCTTTGTCCATCTCATTATGATGATCTCCAACTCTTTATCCGTTATTGTTTCATTGTAAGCTAACCTAAGTTTGCATAACTTTCGGAAGCCAACTTCTACAAGAAGTGTGATTTTAGCTGTTTATCTCAGTACATCATACATCGATACAATAAAGGCAAAAAAATTCAGTAGATAAAGAAGTCACTAGTCAAAAGGATGTTAAAGCTTTGTCCGTGAAAATCAAAAAAAATTTGTATGATATACGTGAAGTGGTTGATTTGAAGCATTTAAGAAACACGTTACTAGTGCAACAGTTCGATCGAAACCTCCTTTCAATAAAATATCTTTGAACTGTCACAACTTCACCAGTTTTTTTCTTTAATTTCATGTTTATTGCCATAGAATCTTTAACCTGGTAGTTTCAACAGACCGTAATCTCAGTTGTTCCATTTTTATTCACTCATCCAGTCAGCAGAACCTTCAAGAGTACAACCACATAGTAATCTACAGTGGTTAGCAATATGACTTTGTATAGCTAAAAATTCTGTGCTGTTCAGGAAAGTGCTTGTACTTGCAAATAAAGCACCTGATTTCAGCTTCGTCTTTACGTTTAACAAAATTTCTTTGTACCTTATGTCTGCAAAATCAATACATTTCTTCTGAAAATTTGTATAAAAAATTCCCTATGACATTTATTCAGTTGTATTGATTTAACTACTCATAAGTAGTTAATTTTTAAGATTTAATAAATTTGGGCTGGGCAATGAATAGACGCGGATTATCTGAAACGTGTGATGTATTAGCGTTACTCATTTCCAGCAATGTGATCATATGAATTTGTTGGATAATTTATATAAAAACCGAGATAGATTTACTAAGCCAAGGTCAGTCTTCATGTCAATCCTATGACCAAGCGGTTTCTAATAAATGTGCATCGTGATGAATGAGGATGGATTTTCATCAGCTGCACTTTTCAAACTATTAGAGGTTATTTATTTCTGAAGCCATTTAGGCACAAGTCCAACCTTTTTTAACTGCATGTCACAATTACTCCACCCTGTTTACGTGTGTCCACATATATCTGTAAACTGATAAACACAATGGTTTGTGTTATAATCGTAAATATGTTTTTAGGTTTGCGTTGAAGCATAGGTTTCGTCTTCTCTACTTAGATGATCTTATCTGCATAGTATGTTGTACTAACAACCGATCTGAATCTTTCTTTTAAAACTAGTCTTTTTGGCTCATTATTGTATAACAGTGGGATATACACTGAATACTTATTAATCGGTCTTAATGCTGTGTTGATTTTATTGGATATGTATTTGCATGATTAGATCCGTCATCACTTTAATTTCTACTTCTTGTGTATCATCTTCGGAAATGTGATCAACACCTGATTAAGTCAAATTTGTATCCTACTGAACAGTAATTAAGGTTTCATCCTGTCTAGTTCTACTTCCTGTGCATAGACTTTCTTATTGAGCAATACCTCCTTCAACTAGTTAGTATGTCTAAAAATGATGGTTTGCCGTATATCTCTTCTTCCCGTTGTACATCAATCATTTTATTTATGTAAAAAAAATCCTCACCTCCTCAGGTTTCTTCTCAAATAACACTTACATTTTTCTTATACATCTTATGAAAGCTCTGTCAGTAACTTTGATCGATGAGTCAGAAAGAGCTGAATGATCTGATTCGGTAGAGTTTTCAGATATGTAGAATATTGTTGTTATTGTTAGTTGTTCGACAACCAAACCATAAAGTGCTCGATAATGCTGTTTGTAAGCGTCCGCATACAATATCCATTGTAGTCAGCTCCATAGAAGTATGCGAAATGAAAAAAATATATCCATTAAGGTGAATATAGTCGCTAAATTGTTCTTTATGCCATATTAAATCCTCCAGTATCGGCTCAAAAATACTCAGCAAAAGCCAATGGTATAGAAAGTATGTTTGACGTTTTTGAATAAATATTACTCTTCATACTAGGTGATGATTGAAGGTAAAGTAAAAATTTGGATCGCGGCCGGATTTGAACCAGCGGTCATAGGGTTTCCGGCCAGATGCTCTACTAACTGAGCTACGAGGTCTGACTGCTAACTAGATTTTTATTTCACTTCAATCACCAAGGGTTTTACCTGACTACTATGTGAAGTCGTCACACGTTACTATCGTTTGGTCGTATTCACACTGGCTGCCCACAGTCAGGACTTCTTATCCCAATCCAAATCTAACTAAGTCAGGGAGGAGCATCATATTGATTATCATTCGACTATCTGACATAGCCATAGTTTGGCAGATTGGTATTTATACTGGGTGATGATGGAAGATGAAGTGAAAATTTGGACCGCGGCCGGATTTTCGAACCGGTGTCTACCAGGTTTCCGATTCCATGCTCTACCAACTAGGCTACGAGAGTTTCGGGCGGGAAACTCGGTGGTCGCTGGTCCGAATCTAAATTCTCACTTCACCTCCAATCATCACCTAGTATAGATATTAGATGGCCAAATGATATTACTCTTCTGTTTCTCGACTGATTGTTGATCTTTACTGTTCCCCTATAGAATTTAGTTTTATGATGTACTACACTGTTTGTATTTTGATGATAATGTTGCTTAGTTGTGTTTTCACTCTTGTCGTTTTTTTTTATCTCTCTGTGTGTGTGTGTGTGTGTGTGTGTGCATAATTTAGGTATTCACTTTACGCTGTATTGAATCACAGTGGTCAAACTAATTCAGGTCACTATACAGCTTACATTCGTATCGGTTCAGGTGCTTGGTGTCTTTGTGATGACCAAAAGGTTGTATCTGTCAATTTAAACGATGTACTGCATACAGATGCCTATGTTTTATTATATCATAAGAATTTGTTAGCTGTACGCATTTAACTTGCTTGTCTCTGCATTGATGTACATATATGTATGTATTGTATCCGTCTGTGTATGTATGTATGTATTTGTGTATTACTTCTCCTTCGTGTATACAACGCACATATCTTGTCTTGTAGACTCATGTGTTGTTTGTTGATCCTGTTCACATTTCTTTGGTGCACTACAGAAGCATAGAATGACAGAAAACAGCCATTTGTCTTTCATAGCAAATAGTATTATTATTATTATTACTATTTCTTTTTCGATAGGCGTTTTCCGCTGTTGCCCCTCCCCTCCTCCAACTAGATAAATATCTGATTGTGTAACTATTAATTTTCTAAAATGCCACTTTATACTGTTGATCTTACTTTTTTTTTTTACTGTTTACAAATTGTATGATCCTTGACAGCTTTTTCATTTCTCTCAATCTGGTTGATTTCACACTGTACTTCTTTCTCTCTTTCTTTCTTATTGTATGTTAAGAACTCTGGAAGCATAAAAGTGTCTTTTCTAATCTTCTTGTTATAGAGTAATGATGATAATATGATAACAGTGATCATGGTTTGATTCTGCTTCGATAATGTTGTGTGCTGTATACCTGATTCTTGTGGATTGTTTCTTTTCCTTTATCACTTGTTTATGATAAAGATTATTTATTGAATAGGAATGTCGTAAAAAAGGGCTATCATTTCAGATCACTTCATATTTTATAAGACTTTCAGAAATGTAAGAGAATTTGGATAGATCGACTTGAAACGTAGACTAAAAGTACATCGATTCAGGTTACTATACTTCACAGAGAAGATGACGCTTAGCGAAATGTTAAACACTTTGAAAATGGCTACTAGGAGTTTATAACATCTGCACTATTATATCCGATTTGGAGCTTTATCGCTAAATCTCAAATCATTGTTTGGTTGCTGATGTGTTGTCGATCTCAAACGGGTTGACCTAAATGGTGTAAATGAACAGTTAACGACATCATGAATTCATTCGATTTGGAGGTTACTTGGAATTCAGTTATTAATTTCAGTTTGGTATTCATCATGGAAGGATGTCAGTTGGAGAAACATTTGAAACCTGGTAGTACTGGACAGCTGTTTCGTCTCACTATGGAAATGTTATCGAAATTGTTCACAATTTGAACTAGTGTAAGTGTAGGTACTCTTTACAGTCCTGGGAGAGCAACCAATTTCACGTTGCCTAGTCCTCAGTGGAGATTGAATCCTATCGATCATATCTGCAATGTGGCCACCAAGCTAGGAGGCTCAGCATCATGGTGAACATTAGTTGATGTTAGTTGGCTGAACGCAATCGGTACAGAGACCCGGACGTAGGTTTCATACTTGTTGGCACTTACTTATACACACCTGACGGAACTGATGCCCCGCCTGAGATTCGAACTCGCGTCATATCAGTGTTGTGGTCAGTGTCCTCACCACTGAACTATTCGTACCCGATGAGCGTGAGACCTAGGTGAAGGGCTTCCTGCCTCCAGCCATCTAACATTCTTAACAGTACTCCTAAGGTTGTATAATAGGCTTATATGTTATCCTCGAACCAAAAAATCATTTGGTTGCGTTGTTCTTGAAATAATACAGAGTGTATGCTGTTCCAAACGCGGTATATCGATAAACAATCAATTTCAATCTTCCAGTTAACTCACAAAATGTTTGACTTCAGACAGTAGAACTTTCAATGTTAAAAATAAGACGGAATCACAGCTTGTTCAACATGTGTGGTTAGTGCAGCATATTAGGTATCAGTAATGTGAGGAAACAATCCAGTCCAGTCGTATGGACGATGTACATTGCTGTGAACTAAGTTATTGTCAATTAGTCAACTGCTGTATAATTTTACTCCATGAAATGAAATGAAATATTAATAGACATTGAATGATTTTAAGATGGTATTCCTCATGAACTGACATTTTAGATGCCTGTATAAATTTTGATATTATAAAATGGACAAAATTTGCAGGACAGAATGATCTTATCATAGACTGCTGCATACAGTCTAGAAGTGCATTGGTTATTTGGACATAAGACATTTCAACCAACAATCTTCAGTTGAAAACTCACATTACAAATCAAAAGCCATTTGAGTGAACAAAGAATATTCTTTTCGATAACTCCTTCTTCAGTTTCTTGATATGTAAAATTCTCCTTACCATGTTCTAGCGAACAGCTAGTAAAGCATAGTGTATTTGAATTTATCTGGGGGTACTTATGGAGGCTAACATCATGAATAGAGCTATTATATCATTGGACGCAACATCTCTATTCACTATTGTTCCTTTTCTTGAGACAGTCGACTATACAGATGAACAGCTGGAAGAAAAGTCTGTAAATGTTGAAATCCCCATAAATATCTCTAAAGAATTATCGCTGAGATGTTCGATGTACGTTAACTTTGAACTTTAAAGAAAAGTGGATGGAGTCGCAGTGGGCTTTCCACTAGGTCCCATATTAGCGGATCTTTTTCTACCGAAACTAGAGAATAATTTATTGGAACTATCTATCAAAGAATTTTTATTTTACTGTATATATATGTATGATACATTCATCCTGTGCGAAGCAAACATGAACTCAGTAGATTCAACTCAGTATACCCAGCGATGAAGTTTACATGTGACGAGGAGTCACAAGGCAATATAGCTTTTCGCCCTGTTGTCTCAAGACGAAAAGATGGTTCGCTTAAGAGGAATTCGTTTAGGAAATGTACATGAATGAGACGATATACACCTTTTTTCTCAGCTTCTTCTCCCTCCAGTACAAAAGAAAGTTTCGTGAAAACTTTACCGAATAAAGGCTATATGTTCGGAAGATTTAGTTGAGGGGGAAGTGACCGCTTTCAGCACTACACTACTCAAAAATGACTGTCCTGATAAATACATAAAGAAACATATGATTACAAAAATGATAAGAATGAATGTTTCAACGATTATCTGGAAACCACTATACATTCAGGTACAATTGAGAGGTGATGTGGTCAGTGAGATATCAATTCCCAAACAACCCAGAGGAATTAAAGGAGCTTTAAGACTCATAAATTAAACATTACGTTCTGCACACGCTCACTAGCGACACAGACTGAAAAATAAATTACGTTGACTGGTCAATTGCTGTTGTTTATCAGTTCGACTGCTCTTGTAGAATCAGTTACATCAGTTTCTGGTCTTGGAACACCGCTTAAATTTCGTTAGGTAAACGACTATCCAAGACCATTAACAGCTCCATAATACCCCACCCGTCTAGTTAAAACGAATCATAAGGTGGTGGGTATGAACAAGTCGTTCTCCATTCAGTACAGGCTTCCCACGAACGTGACAAATATGTACCCGTCTACGAATCCTTCAGACTGAAGAAGCAGTGACAATCAGGACCCAACAACCGACGTTACGTGTTCCAAATAAAGCAAGTGTAGCCGCTGTAACTACTGCGGTTCGATTCGGCACTCACAATTTCCTTCACATGCTACCACAGGTAATCTAATTTTCGAATTCCACATCGTGGATACTCTTTCATCCCTATAATCTGAAGCGATTTTATCACATTCTCTTCGCCTACTTTGTCCCCCAATATAAGTTACGTTCTATCAAGTTATTATCCCTCAAATTATCTTTCACAGTTTATTCCATCTAGCATTCATAAGCACCTTCCTATTGTCGAATTGAACTATCACCTTAAAGCACTACCTACACTGTAAAATCGTTTAGATAACCAACTATCTTGAATTAGATCGTAGTAACACTTGATTCCATCATTACCGTTGTATGAATACAAGTCTTTTGTGAGTTGACTTCTTCAACTGTATAATATTGCTGACAAACTGATCAGCGGAATCTCTATACTCTTGACGGGTAATTCCCCAATATGTACACATAACTAACTGTAAGACCCAAAGAAATTATCAAGAAGCATGTTCTTTGTTCACTCAAACGGCTTTGGAATTTTCACTTGTGCAACAAAATCATCGATAGTTCATATAACATGAAACAGAATTAATTGTAAGTAGGTAGGAAATGTAAGAAGGGAAAAATACAAATAAAAAATAGAGAAAAGAGATGTGGAGTGTTGGCTTCGATCCAGTGGTTTAATGGTGACGTACTGGTCACGGAACCTCAAGTCACTGGGTTCGAACCCTGACGGTGTCATGGGTGATGACTACTGAGCAGTCCCATACTAAGGCGAAACAACAATCCAGGGCTCGTATGTTCCTCCAACTGGTGTCAGTTCATTGTGAATCCCAACCTAAAATCAATTTATAAACCTCCACAAACCTCCAGATACAGTTAATAAATGAGGAGTTATGTAATTAAACTGAAAAGTTTTATTATTTTAGAAACAACACTCAAGCCTTCAACCTAATGTCCTGTGTCTACGAGATGACAGACAATCGCACTGGTTACAATTTTACTTCCTTTCAGGCATAGAGTATTGGGCATAGTCTCAACGAACTGAATGGATGCTCTTCTCTCAGTTCTTCAAATTTATTTGCTACCACAAGTGCATGTGAATTCATAAATACAGTTGAAGGTGACTTGATTGGGGGTAATTATCCAATTTGATTAGTTTAGCGAGCATTTGCTATTGTGTATTGACGTAAACTTGGCTACAGGAAAACTTTTTCTCAATGCACTTAGATCATTGTATCTATTCTCTTGGATATTGCAGCTCCTTCTGAATTTCCACGATTGGGTGTTTATTTCTCTTAGTCCGTTCGTTTACTTACCTAATAATAAATCTCTTAGGATATCCATTCTATCAGAGATACTTCTGAGTGATTCTTATTTTTTTCTCTAACTTGTCCACAGAACACAATTTCCTACCTGTGTTGTAAAGTGTTTTGACTAATAGACGCTTATAGCTGGCAGGACAGAAACTGACATAGTTAAGATATAGTCCACTTCATGTGTCTTTTCTATGGATAGTCTTTTCAATATTACCATCAGTTGGAGTCGAAACAACTGAACTCCTTTTCATTCTCATACCCCATCATAAATTTAATATTGAGAT